TGCACAAGAAAGTACATGTAATGGCCATTCTAGAGAAACCAGAATTTACTACCAATGGAGCATTGAAAAAAGGCAATTCTATTTTTTAACATTGTTTAACCTCAACCTAGAGGATCAGAAAACCCTAAAACCTTAATAAATAGAACAGTACAGAACATAGTTTGTGCCAACGATATTGAAATAATGGAAAAATAGTTGTAGACTGAATGACATGAGAAATTTTGCACATGGGACACCACCTTCCACATAGGACAGTATGCTGCTGTGCGTCCAGTCCTGGCATTTTAGTGCACCCAGGAGGCACAAGTGTAGCGTTCAGCCCCATTGCCTCTGCAGCTTGTCAATATCTAGAACAGGCTGAAATATTTTGTAGCTGGATGGGGCTGAAAGCCCATTACGTGGGTATTCAGTTCCTTCACACCACAGCATATTTTCCAGCATTGCATTAGCAGTTCATTGAATAGTTTTATTTGTTGCCTTTACCCCTAGACATAGATGGATCATTTTGTTATCTGACATCCAGGGACATCAGTTTCAAGAGGACATAATGACCAACCAGACTAATTGCTTTTGTTTTGATGAACAGATAAGCATGATAATGTGGAAAATGCTCTTCTGTGCCGCACTCTTTAAAGAGAAGATAGTTTATAAATTGGGATGAGTCTTTAGGGGAATTTAAGTGAAATTTTGTGCTTGCATTGACTCTTATTCAAAAAAATGTGATCTAATGTTGTCTTTGGCAAAACCAATTAAGCTGAAATTTATATTTCTTTGTGTGAACATTTTGGCAAAATGAATTGAAGTCAATAGGAGAGTAATTTTTGGTAAAAGTTTGCCCAAAGCCAAATCGTTTTGCCATTCATGCCTAATAATTAATAGTTCACAGACAATTTTACATATGTTCAAACATACTATAAATTGTCTTCATCAATGCATTTTACCGATCTAACTTAAAAACTGAAACCCAAATGGTTGCTAGGGGTTACAGCATTTTGCTTTGTTTTATGTTATCAGGATGCAGTCTCTATATGTAAAGGCACATACAGGGTTTGTGTATATAGAGCTTATTGTAGGTTCAATTGATCGGAGGTACACTGAGTAAGGGCACTGCACGCAATTGTGATATGCCCCCTTTCATTTGAAAAGGAGATATTCTGAGGGTGATGCTGCCTGCCACATGCGATGGGGGCATGTGTACTTATATACATAGCCTTTGCAGCTTAAAGGGGAGCAGTTTGGGGATGGTAAAAACACGGCTCCCCTCCCCTCTAACCACAGCTGTAAATATAGCCTAACTGTGAAAGAAGTAACTGAGCAATACCCACTGGCAATTTTATTTAATCTTGAAAGTCCAAAAGCAGGTTTGTTTTTGAGATACTGCCTTATATTATAACTGTCTCATATTACTGTCAGGTTAAAGTTATTATTATTATTATACAGTATTTATAAAGTGCCAATGGTTCGCTCAGCGCTGTACATTACAAAGGGGGACAGAACATGTGACAGAACAATACCAATAGAATGCAAAACATGAGAGGATCGAGGGCCCTGCTCTTTCGAGCTTACAATCTAGGAGGGAGGGGATAGTGGTACAGGAGGAGATAGCTGTAGGGGATGGAGTGGTAGGAAGAGTGGAGGAGGTCGGCAGGTCAGCAGGGGGTGGGGTAGGCTTCCCTGAAGAGATGGGTTTTCAGGGTGCGCCTAAAGGAGAGGAGAGTAGGTGATAATCTGATGGGTTGGGGCAGGGAGTTCCAGAGGATGGGTGACACCCTGGAGAAGTCCTGGAGGCGGGCATGGGAGGAGGAGACCAGGGAACTAGAGAGAAGGAGGTCTTGTGAGGAGCGGAGTGTGCGTGCTGGGCAGTACTTGGATATTAGGTCAGTGATGTAGTACGGGGCAGTATGGTGGACAGCTTTGTACGTCAGTGTTAGGATTTTGAATTTGATCCGTTGCGCAATCGGAAGCCAGTGGAGGGATTGGCAGAGGGGGGTGGCAGAGATGGAGCGGTTGGAAAGGTGAATGAGTGTGGTAGCTGTATTCAGGATCGACTGAAGCGGGGATAGCCAGCGGCAAGGCAGGCCAGTGAGGAGGGCGTTGCAGTAGTCAAGTCGTGATATGATGAGGTAGTGGATGAGCTGTTTAGTGGTTTCTGGGGTTAGGAACGTGTGTATTTTGGCGATGTTGCGGAGCTGGAGTCTGCACGAGTTTGTTAAAGATTGGACTTGGGGCTGGAAGGATAGGTTGGAGTCCAGAATGACACCAAGTACTCTGGCCTGCGGGGCGGGTTTGATGGTGGCGTTGTTGGATGTGATGGAGAAGTCAATGGGGGGGTGGGGTCTGGGCTGGGGGGGAAGACAAGAAACTCGGTTTTGGAGAGGTTCAGTTTAAGGAAGTGGAGCGACATCCAGTCTGATATGTCGCTCAGTAGGTGTGTGATTCGGGCGGAGACCGAGGGGGTGAGGTGGGGGTTTGAGAGATAGATTTGTGTGTCGTCGGCATATAGGTGGTAGTTGAAGCCGTGAGAGTGTATGAGTTGGCCAAGGGAGGAGGTGTAGATGGAGAAGAGAAGGGGCCCGAGGACAGAGCCTTGAGGGACCCCAACAGAGAGGGGGAGTGAGGGGAGGTGGTAGCATTATAGGTAACGCTGAAAGAGCGTTGTGACAGGTAGGATGAGAGCCAGGAGAGCAGAATCTCTGAGGCCGAGGGAGTGTAGTTTTTTGAGGAGGAGGGGGTGGTCGACTGTGTCGAAGGCCGCAGAGAGGTCAAGGAGTAGGAGCACTGAATAGTGGCCATTAGCTTTGGCGGTTAGCAGGTCGTTGGAGAGTTTGAGTAAGGCAGTTTCGGTGGAGTGTAGAGGACGGAAGCCGGACTGTAGGGGATCGAGGAGGTTGTTGTCGTTGAAGTGAGAGCTTAGGCGGGTGTAGACTAGGCACTCGAGGAGTTTAGATGTAAATGGGAGCAGGGAGATGGGTCTGAGGTTGTTCGGGTCATCGGGGTCCAGGGAGGGATTTTTAAGTATGGGGGTGATGTGTGCATGTTTCAGAGGGGAGGGGAAAGTGCCGGAGGAGAGGGAGAGATTAAAGATGTGGGTGAGGGAGCGTAGGATGGAGGGGGAGGGAGGTCATAGGAGTTGTGAGGGGATAGGGTCGAGGGGGCAGGTGGTGAGGCGGGCATCAGAGAGGATCTTGGAGACTTCCTCGATGGTAGTAAGGTCAAAGGTGCGGAGTGTTGGGGGGGCTTCAGTATGAGGAATGTAGGGTGGGTTGGAAGTGGAGGTCAGAACAGTGGTGGGGCCGTGGGAGAGGGGTGATGAGGGGGTAGTTGAGTGAGAGGGGGAATGGGGTTGGAGGGAGTTTGAGCAGCGACGAAGTCCCTGCGGGTTATGTCGAGGGAGAGGGGGGATGAGGGGGCAGCTGTGTGAGAGGGGATGGGTTGAGAGGGCGTGTGAGTTGCGACGATGTCCTTGCAAATTGTGTCAATCTTGTTTTTGAAGTGATTGGCAATTGGCAGTGAGTGAGGTGCTGGGTGGAGGTGGTTGTGGCGAGAGTAGAGAGTTGAAGGTGGAGAAAGAGTCGGTGAGGATTGGAGGAGAGGGCCTTGATGAGGGTCAGGAAGTAGGCTTGTTTGCCTGCGTGGAGGGAGGAGGTGTAGGTGTGGAAGGCAGATTTGTAGCGGGTGAAGGCTCGTTGGGATTTGGTTTTGCGCCATAGTCGTTCCGGGGCACGACTGTGTCGTTTGAGGGTTTTGGTGTGATCAGTCTGCCAGGGCTGGAACGGTCGGGGTCTGATGTTGCGTGTGGTTAAAGGCGCTAGTGAGTCAAGGGCTGTTGACAGCGCGTTGCTGTAGGCAGTCATAGCCAAGTCGGGGCAAGACAGGGGGAGGATGCTGTCGTGGAGTTGATCAGCTGCAGAGTGGAGGGGGGCAGGGTTAAGGTTGCGGAGGTTACGGCTGGTAGTAGTGTGACATTTGGAGGGGTAGGCGTTGGAGGACGAGGAGATAGAGAAGGTAATCAGGTTGTGGTTAGAGAGAGGGAAGGGGGTGTTAGTGTGGTTGTGGGGAGCGCAGCGGTTGGAGAAGACGAAATCAAGGATATTACCGTTGGAGTGGGTGGTGGATTGTATGCACTGTGCAAGTGCAAAGGAGGAGGTTAAGTGTAGGAGATGGGATGTGGCCGGGATGTCGAGGTTTACAGGGATGTTGAAATCCCCAAGGATGATGGTGGGTAGCTCAGAGGAGAGGAAGAAGGGTAGCCAGGAGGAAAAGTCATCCAGGCGGGATATGGATCCAGGGGCCGGTATATCACAGCATCTATTTATTAAGTTGCATCTATTTATTACAAATATATTTTTAAAGCTGAACTCGTGGCTATAAAAAAGATATAAAAAATTATAAAACTAACTAATGCAGCTTTGTGATCATTAATACGTCATTAAATATGTTTTTAATGGAAGTAGTGTACATACCAGAATATTAACTGGTACCAGTTTATTTCAGCTACTGTACAGCAGGGCTGGAGTTTGAGAGGATTAAGCAGCACAAGCAGTCAATCAGTTTATGTATTGGCAAGCAGCATGCTGGCAAAGGTAGAGGGCAGAGTGACAGAGAGATTAGCACATCATTGTGCTTTTCTTTTCGATCTCCAGTCACAGGAAGGGGCAGGTACAGGACAACCTGGACTCAGAGGAAGTGGGTTGAATGAGGCTGGCCATCAGACTGAGGACATCTAGCAGAAGAAAAAAATGTACTGTAGGTAGATCTCTGGATTGATGTTGAATATTTCAGCACAAACTGGTTTTGCTATATTATGGATTTTTTTGGGCTATCCATTTTTATCTTTTTTTTGACTGGAGTTCTACTTTAAAAGTAGACGTATATAAAGTGCTGATTTTCCCTATGTAAAACTCAAATGCATTTATGCAGAAAATTATCTTTTGTTTTTAAAAAAAAAAGTAATGAATATTGATTTAATTTCAGCATCTTTGAAACCTAGTACAGATGGTATGTATGAAGCATATCGTGGAACAAGCACAGTTTGTCCAGTTAGAAAAGAGGTGAGAAGGAATTGTTTAAATAAAAATATTCAAAAATCTGTACATTTTAAATCTACCAGGCAGAAGGGGAATATTCCTGCTTCTGCAGCTGGCCTCATTCTAAAAGTACTAGTTGCCTGGCTGTTTTACTAATTCACTAGTACACTACTTTACAAACCACTGACCTGGAACATGTTTGTAGATCAGGAAAGTCAAGGAAATCGATTCCTCGTCTGTTTGCTTATTTTGCAGTAGTGGTTCAAGTCTTAAAATTGGTGGGTCTGAATAAGAACCAAGCAACTAGCATTTTCAGAAGAAGGCAATAATAGGAGCTTCCCTGTATTTCTCATGACAAGTTTCATTTATTAGATTGTGGTAGTTCTATCTAAATGCTCAATGTACTTTACCATCTGAAGTGTCGGATCTGCCACTGTGCTGAAATAGCTGCATGCCAGCATTCTATGCAACTTGGTTGCATATGTCTGTGTATACTACAAGTAGGCATATGCTATGTTAAACGTCTGCAGCATTGTCAATATTACAGGTTTCAACTATTTAAATATATTGCTAAATGTTATCAGTAGCTCAAAACCCAACCTGAAATTTCATGTTTCCTTTGTGCCATTACAATTTTCAGTATAAGACTGCATGCACGCAGGCATATTGATATAATCCCATTTTCGCGGAATCTTTCTGGCAGGAGCTCGGATGCTCGGTCTGGCACTTATTTACATATGTTAATGCGTGTATTTATGTACATTTATGTGTGTAAGGTGTATGCATGTAATTTCAGTCTAGGGCTAGAATATTCATTTGTTCTAGCTACTAGACTAAAATTACACACATACACACACGTTTATGCATCCAAATGTGTAAATTATGCCAGTATGCTTCTCTCTAAATGCAGGTTTGGGGCACACTCTAAACGCCGCTCTAAAATACAAATCTAAATGCCACAATGTGCATAGACATGTTTGCTAATATAGAGCTGCATTCAGAGGCCTACAAAAAAAATGCTTCTAAAAGCAGTTTTTTTCTGCCCATGAGCATGAAGCCTAATGCGCATGAGGGTAGACTGCATTGTAGAATCTTACTGTAGTCTTATGTTGTATTTACCATTATAATCAGCTAGAAACCGTCTGTGAAGATCCAGCCAATGCCGAGCCACTGATTCTCTTTGATTTGGAAACCAGTAACACTGAGCAAGTTAGTAGTAATTATAATTTCTTTTTATATATACTTGATTTATAATTTGTTGTTTATTATGTGAATGCTTTTCTCATTTCAGAAAACTCATGAATGTAACCCTTGAGATATTAAGTATGCCTCATGCTTTGGGTTCCAGTATAGAAGTACATGTAATTGTGTCCTTAGTACCAGGTTAAGCATTCTCACTTCAGAATTAGCCAGTAGTTGTTGTTTTTTACCTTGGATCAGAGAAAAGATTGGAAATCTTGATTAGTTTGGTTTCTGAGCACATGTTAGTAAACACTAATCAGTGGTAACAATGCACTCAACTACTGCTTACTAACAAGAGATAGATGATTACTGCCTGTTACTTTGGCATGTAAATAAATTCAAAATATTTGTTTCTTGGTCCTCTAGTAAATAAGAAGTTTTATGTTGGTATGGCAGGAAAAAATGTTATTTAAAATGTCATAGGGGACTGCAAAATTAGTACAATTGCCTGTTATAAAATACTCCTTTTTAAATTCTAGACTTCTTCTTTACGGAAATCATTATCATTTACAGATGTTTAAATTTAGAGTAGAAGAAATGTTTGAAGAGATTTCAAGGGATATCCAAGAAATATTGAAATGCCCTCTCTAGCCCTCAATGTAGTAACATAAATAGGTCTTTGCCTTTGTAAGCAGCCGTGGGACCTTACTTTCACCAGCAGATGGCAATATTAGTCAAAGTAGTAATTGCACTTAGTGAATACTAGAAGCTGCAGAGAACTGGTGCCTATTCCTGCTAATACAGAGATAGGTTACAAATAAATAAAAAGACTGAAAATCTCAGTTTAAACCATGTATACAGCAGTACAAACCAAAAAAAAGATTTTCCTTGTTTTTTTTTTTTTTTTTTTAACATTGTCGTAAAAAAAATAATTTGTAATCTGGTTTGGTTGCTTCACTGATATGGTAGTGCTATTTCCTCTGAGCTTAAGATATTTGTCTTGTTGACTGCTGAATCACTCACAACACACCTCAGAATCTTCCCTAACCCCCTCTGGGCATAATTCCCCTCTTTCTTATCGGGGGTGAAATTCACTGCTACTGTGTCTGAATTTATGGGGTCTGACTCCATATAGAGGACAACCTCGTGTTTAAAGACCCTGTGGATAAATATATGGATGCCTTTTCTAAGGCCTTATTCTTCTTTGCAGGTCCTGTCCTACAATCTGCTATCGTTGCCATGTTCATCTGCCAGACCTGCTCCAATGAATTGTCTTGGTATCCTGGATCTATCCTAAGGAACCTTGCTGTCCTCCAGCCACTGAAACTCACACCTGTGGCCCTACTCTGCTGTGTTGACAGGCTTCTGTAGCACATATTCTACACCAAATATCCACAATGGACCTCCTTGTGATACATGCAAAGGGCCATCGCTGAGGGATAGAGTACATTTTTGCCTCAGAAAAGTAGACAAAACCTCAACCTGGGAAACCCTCTGCTTCTGAGACTAAGACCTTTTATTTCTCTCAGAATTTCAAGTCCAAGGCAAAGCTTAAAACTCCGTTTTGCTGTAAGTCCTTATCTTCAAATCCACAAACAAGTTTTCCTCTCATTAGAGTGGGGGGTGTCTGTTGGCCACAAGCTGAAATTTTGTTTTTTGCCTCCACCCATTTAATGCTGTCAAACTTTCCAACGTTCCCACTGAGCTTGGCAATATCTGGGTCGGGTCCTGGATGAAGTCCTGTTCACGATTTTCCTTCCAGAGGAGAAAAACAATTGAGTACTGTCCATGATACTTTTTTTTTATTTGCACTAACGTACAGTCTTTCAGGACAAGCTTTTGGGGTATGTCCCTTTCTTCAAGGGCCAAGCAGTACAAATAAAAAAAGTTTTACCATATTGTTAAAGTAAGCCCTGGTTCACACTGAATGCTACATTGAACTCACGCCACATCACTTGAAGTAGCGTGATTTCAAAACCGCAGGTCAGTGCAATTTCAGGTGTGACTTGCCTGACATCTGTGTGACTTCATGCACAGATGTCTACGCAAGGTGCACCTGAAATTGCCAGAAATAGTGCAGGATCTATTTTTCAAATCGGTGTGACGCAGACAGAGTTAGATTCGCACCAATTTGACCAGTTCCATGCCGACAATAGGGTGCGACTTGTCATGTGTTTTGGAACTTTTAAATTGCATGACAATTCACACTGGTGTGAACTGGGGCTAAGACAATCTGTAAGGACAAAAAGCAAAAAAAAGACAAGCGTACACAGCAATGGTAATTAACCACTTAAGGACCGCCTGCCCGTAATGTACTACAGACAGCTGGCAGCTACAGGCAGAGCGACATACTGGTAAGTCACTTTGGCTGTACTAACACAGGGGGCAACCTCTCCCCCCCTGTGACTGCTGTGTCTGGTGGACATGTCTGGTAGACACAGCGGAACACAGATCTCGGTACTCAGGACCCGGTGGCTGATTCCTAACAGCTTTGCTTTCCTTCCTAGTGAGCTGTGATTGGACCACAGCTCTCACATGGTACATGGGCCAATCACATCTCCCTGTACCATGTGATTAGCTGTAACAGATTATTAGTATTTTGAACTGTCATGAACTTAACCCATTCATGACAGTTCAAAGCAAGCATTGCATTTCAGGAGCAATAATCTGTATTGTAAGAGTAAAAAAAATCCCTGATGAAAGTATTTTTTTGTTTTTTTAAAATAATAAAAAATAATGTTAAAAAAAATTATTGTCTATGTCACCCTTCCTGCCCTTGCTCCCAATTACAAATAACCCTCTCTTCCCACCTGGCCTATACCAGCCACAGGCGTTCTCTTGATGGGGCACCAATGGGTTTTCTCATGCTCTAAATTTTTTAACCTCCAGGTCCTTTCCCACATGGGCCTCTCTTTGGGAGACCTATGACATCCCTCAATCAGAGTTCTTCTACTCTGCAACTCCAGCATTGGCTTACCTCATGACGCAGAACTTCCACTTACCCGTTCCAGAAAACTGCCTTCGAACATACCTACCAACACTACCATGGTTCTTCAGGAGTTACCTCTGCCCTCTATGCTTCTCTGAACGGTCGCTCCTCTCGTACATCCCTCTCCTATGTAACTCAATGGGAGCGGGATCTGGCAGTTGAGGTAGACCTAGCGGACTGGAGCAAAGCCTGTTTTTCTGTAGCTAAATGCTAATTTAACACAGCTACCTTGGAGGCAGCATAAAAGGTGCTTCTCCACTGGTACTGGGTTCCAGCCTGTATTGCCCATGCAAATCCATCCTACAGTGACCGCTGTTTTCAGGGTTGTGGCCAGTGAGGTGATGATTTGCACACATGGTGGACATGCCCTAAATTAATCTGGTTCTGGCCCCCCGTGTATTTGGCCTCCTGTTTACTCTGTTTCACCTACCTATATGTAGAGAGGCCAGGTTTGCCTTATTACACTTCCCCATACCGGGTTTGTATGCTAATCAGTGTAAGCTCGCCTCCTATCTTTTTTTTGTCAGCTACTAGAACAATAGCCCAAACCTGTAAAAAAGCATATGTCCCCTTCAAGGGGTGAGAGACCGTATGACTGCACTGATGCTCAATGAGCAGATGTCCAGTATTCGCATTGATTCTCAGGCTAAGTTTCTCAAAATCTGAGAACTGTGGCTCACGTACGCCTTTCCTACTCTTCCTCAAACCAGCTACTTTGACGGGCAATCCCATTGCTCCCGAGTCCTTGTCTGTCCCCTCTTTCCTGGCTTTTGGCCCTCAGGCCAACTCCCTTTATTTCTTACTTTTTATTTCACTCCTTACAGGTGTGCGACACCTCTCTTTCTCTATCTCTCCTGTATGTGGCTAGGCTGCCAAAAAGTCTCTCACATGTGGTAGCTTCATACTCAGAGGAAGTAGCAGAATGTGTTTTCAGGGAGTAATTCCACATATACCCGTGGCATGTGTGCGCAACATATATACCATAGTTTGTAGACACAATTTCTGTCACACAAACCATGTAATATACACGTATTGGGATTTTTCTTTTACCAAAGACATGTAGCAGAATATATTTTGACCTAAATTTGAGTTTATTGGATATTTTTTATAACAGAAAGTAGAAAATAATGTTTTCAGTCTTTTTTTTGTTTGTCACATAAAATAAAAAAATACAGTGGTGATCAAATATCACCAAAAGAAAGCTCTATTTGTGTGGAAAAAAGGGCATACATTTTGTTTGGTTACAGCATTACATGACCACGCAATGATCTGGTCAGGAAGGGGGGAAACCTTCCAGAGCTGAAGTGGTTAAACTAGGATAGTTAGGGCTCTTTTACACGGATATTCTAATCAGGTCCGCCTGTCTGTTTTTCAGGCAGACCCGATCGGAAGCTCCATTCTCCTCTTTGGAGCGGCGGGTGTAAACGGACATGTGTCCGTTTACACCTGCCTACATCCAATCCGATCCGCCAAAAAGGGATAGATGGGGATCTAATTCCCCTTCTGTCCGTTGGATCAGGTCGGATGAAAACGGACAGGCGGTCCTTTTCATCTAACCGCTCATAGAGGAGAGCGTGCATCTCTATGTCTGCTCTGCAGCAGCGGAGCAGACACAGGAGAGATCCCCTGCTGAGCAAGCAGATCCACTAAATGGGTCTGCTCCGTGTGAAAGGACCCTTAGTGAGATAAGACAGAGAGAAAGCTATAAACTGAGTGGGATTAACAGTCACAGAGGGTGTTGTAAAACTGTTGGATAATAGTTAGTAAGAAAGAGAAACCCTTGTCTACATTTAAACCATTATCTTTCATGTCTAATAGAATTATATTTCTTAGTTCACAAGTTTTCTCTTCCTGAGTACTTTTGAAATTTCCTTTTAAGAACTAAAACTTTAAGATATTCCGTGTGGTCTGGTTGTGAGAAATGATGTCCCACAGGTGTCCCACAGCTTTGTTTGTCAGTGTCTGTTCTCCTAAAGTTAGCAGCATAATGTACCCAGGGGCGGACTGACCATTTGGAAACTCGGGCACTGCCTGAGGGCCCGGAGTCAATAGGGGGCCCCATGAGATGCCCCTGGTACCTTTTTCATAGGCTTTTTTGAGTTTGGGCAAGGACACAGGGGCCCCATGATCCCCTATTGCCTGGGGGCCCCATGAGTTGTCAGTTCCCCCCTGAATGTACCTGAGCAACTTTATACTGTGTCCCATAATATACTCCAGGAAAAGGATTTTATTCAAGATTCCTTTTTTTTATTTGAATATGCAGTAGAAGGGAATTTGTTAAAACCAGTCTGTTTTTTTTTATTGCTGCTTGTATCCCATTTGAAAAGATTTTATCCATTTTATCCTGATGAACATTATTAATGGCACATAAAGTAATGGGAAATCTAAAACTAATAATTTTACATCATCAATTGAGTTATGAGCAATTTTCATTTTAAGAAGTCTTTGGGGGTGGAGCTTAATCTTCAAATTGACCTTCACATTATTGTTTTGGCCATGTGGGGTGTTAGGTGTTGCAAGTCCGCAAAGCTTGCTTATGTATAATTTTTACAAGTGACAGTGGAAAACCTCAGTATTTATAGACAGAAATCTTAACTAACTTTTATTTCCTTTATGTCAGAAAACCACTGCAGAAATACCTTACAGTGAACATTCTTTAAAGGAATATTTAATCAGTGATTTAAAAGGTATGCCATTTACTTTACTTTATATATGCTCACTAAACCTTTTTTATCTTTTATCACTCACACTCCTCTTCTGTATATCCCTGGACATCATTACAAGGATAGGCATATGCACATATACATGATCAGCATGGACTTTCTAGGCAAGCTTTACAGTGGACCTAACATCTGATGAAGGTCCTGTTATAAAGAAATGATGATAAAGTAGTTTTATGGCATTTTTTTTTATTTTTTATTTAAATGTTTCTTTTTTGACAATTGTATCCTTATTCAGCTAGGCAAGGTGTACTTTTGTTTGATGTCAAGTAGTGTAATGTGACTTTTTAAAGGCAGCAGAAGACACCTGTTCCCTCACAGGGGTCAGAGAGCTGCCTGATCACTTTGGTTCCTCTTCCCACTCCATTTTACCAGGATAACTGGTTCCCTCTCTTCCCTTGATTAACAGTGCTCTTTCCTTCTTCAGTCATATAAACGTTTATGCTTGCATAAGATCCATAGCATGAAAGTAAATGCTCTATATTTTTTTTTCAGCTTCACAAGAAATACTATTAACTCCGCCTGTAGCAACAGAACCTAAAAAGTTTTCATCTTTCAAAACTGGTAATTAAAATTGGAACTTATAATATGTATGTGTTTAATGTTTTATACTGGTAAAGATTTTTTATTTCTAATCATTTATTTCTAACCTTTCACTGTACTTTGGGAATGGGTCAGCAGTCCAAGAAACAATTTCATCAACTCAGTGATTGCAATTTACCAGTGGACTGGTGAATTTCTCACAAACACCACAATCTCCTTTCCTCCTCCTGGGATACCAGTGGTGCCTGTTAAGACCAGAATGATGTTTTGAGAGGGTTCCCCCACTTTTGAAGAAAGTTCTAAATATAATTTGTCCTAGGAGTGAGCAAACTAAGCTACCTGCATCTTTGTAGCAATGGGCAAACCAATCTGTAGGCCTGGTGATCTGGCTGCGAACCCATTTAATGACAGACTATCATAGAAATCCTGTTGAATCAATATTTTGCAAGTTGACATTGTAACAAGCATGAAGTAAACACAAATGCAGAAAACTGAAGTTTGCCTGAATAAAAGGGGAAGTATGTGTTTTCTCTTTTTAGCTTTATCCTATTCCATGTGAGCTGCTAATACATCTTTCCAGCCCTCTGAGAAGTGCACCCTTTCTGTTAAAATCAAGGTAAATACCTGTGGGAGGGGCTACAGTCTTCTCTGGATTCTTATGCTGACAGTCTTGTCTGGATCCACCTCCTTTCCTTCTCCTGTGTTTGATGTTAACTCTGGGCTGTCTGGTCTCCCCCTGTTTCCCCACTCCATCTCCCTCCTCCTCTCACACAACACACAGCTCAGATACATTCTCTTTTAGACACCTTTTATCTGCTCACTGGGTAGCTGCCTGCTATTCCGCAGTTCTGACATGTAAAGTTCCCAGATAAAAATGTCTGTGAGCTGTGTGATGAGTGAGAGGGGGAGGAGAGGGAGAGCAGAAAGCCCAGAGCCAACATCAATCAAACCCAGAAGAAGAAAGGAGGTGCATCTATACATGATTGTTGGCATAAGAGTCCAGAGAAGACTGTAGCCCCTCCTACAGGTATTTACCTTGATTGTAACAGAAAAGGTGTACTTCTCAGAGGGCTAGAAAGCTTTTTATGTATTAGCAGCTTACATGGAATAGGATAAAGCAAAAAAAAAAGAAAACCTATATTCTTTTAACCACCTTTTTTGGTGCTGTTCTGCTGTAGTATTGTGTTCCATGATACATGACAGAAATCAGTGTCTGTGTTGTGCTTAGTTGTAATATTGACCACTAGACTTTACAGAATATACACTATATAAACTTTAAAATATATTATCAAAAAATTGCAAGCCGGGTTTTCTAACTTGTCTGATTACTTATTCCGTGGAACTCTAGCTAATAGTATCTGCAAACACGCACAGATAAGAGACCCAGTCTGTCTAAAATTGGCTAGTTTAAACAACTGTTAGTTCATGTCAATGTAAATAAGCTTGTGTTATACATCACTGCTGATCTATTGGGTTTTGTTTTGTCTGACCTCATCTGGACACTTGTCATTAAGTGTAGGCAAAAAAACTGGATGGTTGCAGGGGCTGTTGAGAGGTAACTTAGAACGATGACTATGTCTATAGCATACAGTAAAAAAGCAAGCTTGCTAGCAAGTTTTGTTTGGATGCTATTACTGGTTAGCTAGAAAATCTCCTCTGATCCTAGCTTCATATGTGGTTACTGCAGTAAAGGTTTGGCTTTTCTGATTTTGGAACTAACATCTGTTTCTAGACCCCAGCCCTATCTAACTTGCAATCCTGCTGGCAAATTATTGCTTACTTTTTTGCCATTGAGGCATTCTTGAAGGTGTATGGGTAGTGTTAACAGTTGGACCAGGGTTAAACCCAGCACAAATAGAGATTATAATCCTTAGTGACAAACAATAAAATCAGGGGCGTGCATAAAGGATGCATTTCTAACACACATTTTAGCAAGCATGGTGTGGTGGAAAAGGACATACTGCCTTTAGCAATACATAGTGACATTTTGCATTTATAATCATATAGTATAGATGATTAAGTTATTCCCATGTGCCCAGGGCAGCAAGATCTCTAATCCGTGAGTGTGATGTTTTCTGGATTTTTCATCCTGACTGGAGTTTATCTTGAAGTGTCACTGATTAAGAGTTTACAATTTTACTTAATATAATTGTAGCTTGATAACAAATACAGTTAGCTACATGTCACTTGCTCTTTTCTACTTGCTAACACTGAAGGTTGTGATTTTCTTAGAATGTGACAGGAGCATTCTTGCTCCTGTCACATTCACAATTCTAATCCTACATTTCATATCAAAAAGTTCTGAGGAATTACTAGTAAAATGTTCCTTTAATCCTTAATATGTTTTGTGAACAAGGACTATACATTGTAAGGTCATATGTGTTAAACAGATATTTGACTAATGAGTGTATGCTGTATGTGTGGGCTAGTCTTGTTTAAATAACCCACTTACTCCTAAAATGTACATTGGAATTTAGGTTATAATCTCCTAAATCCATCTTTATCTTGCAATGTAATTATACAGTATTAATGAGATTCTAATAATCTCTAAGTATACTTTCTAAGTGGACACACTGCTGTTTATTTATTTTGCTTGTAAAGTTTGGAAGGGCATCATAATTCTCAAAAATCTATATGAATTGTCACATCCTAGATTGTAAGCTCCAAGGATCAGGCCCTCCTTTCCTTCTTGTATTGAACTGTATTGTTGCTGTATTGTCTCCCGTTATATTGTAAAGCGCTGAGCAAACTGTTGGCGCTATATAAATACTGTATAATAATAATAATATTTTAAACTTATTTTGTGATTTTTTTAACCTTTACAATTTTTCAAGTCACTGTTATATATTTTTTTTCAGTATATTTCAGGTGAATTACAAACATCTTATAATTAAAAATACTTTAGACTGAGTGGTCAGCCCAGTAGATGTCACATCAAAAAAGATCACAGCTCTCCTGCCATGCACAACTCAATTGACACACAAGTTTTGAGCACTGTGTACCCTTGTCTGCATGGAAATAAAATTGTTTCCTGTGCATGCTCGGATATGTCATTATTAATAAATATGTGGACATTTTTCAAATAAAACTAAACATAGTCAAAAGAACACTAAAAGATCATACCTAAGAGACTCTGAGGACACAAACATACAAGGGTTTCTGTTTACAAAGACATGATTAGACATTTACAAGATCCCTGGCTGACTTGATATGCACAGCCATTATTTACTGCAATTCAATCAAGAATCCAGAGCCATTAACACCAGTTTATATCCGCCTTATTGGCACAAAACAATAAGAGAAACATTTCCACACCAACAACTGGTGTCTTATATACTGTATACTATTAGACAACTTAGGCAAGCCAAATTAGGAAAGAAAACACATTCAGTGTTGATGGGGGAATCCCTCCCTCAGCGCTATTGTGTTCTGCTAGCAGGGTGCACAGGGAGCCTTCCCTGCCAGCATAACACAATGATCACTATTAGATGTAGCTGCCGGCATTGATTACGTCAAAAAATTCGGACAGGCTGGTTGTACTGAAGTCAATTGGTGGATCAACTTCAGTACAGCCAGCCTTCCCGTAGAGGGATGGAATCACGGCTGGCCCCTGATAAACCAACTGAGATTCCATCCATTCAAGGTCAGATTTAGCAACAGTGTTTGTATTGTGCACTGACACACAGACCTAATAGAAGATGACACACAGACCTAATAGTTGAGTTTTCCTGATTACCAGTGTAGAAAAGGTTAAGAATATTTGCTGTACACTGGATTACAAAAATTAAGATTGCACTACCTATCTAGTTTTCCTGAAAATCTCTTAATTGGTATTACTGTGCTGGATGGACCCCACAACGAGGAGAGTTACCTGGAAGCTGACATTCATTTTCATGTACTAGTTGTGTTTTTTTCTAAATAATAATAGTCAATAATCAAATAATCTGCAGGTAGTGTTTGTCCACCATACTGTCTAGGCAATTGCACTGCCTATGGAGATTTGTTGATTGGCAAATATGTAGCTGCTGCTATAATTGTAGACATACAAGTTTCAGAAGCCATACACAACTCATCCTTTAAGGTAATAATGAATCTATATATTGCATTCTTTCAACCAATGATATTGTTTATTGAGAAAAGACCAGTGCCAGTGTAGTCTGCTCCTTTTTTAATATGTGAAATCTTGCAGTAGGAGTGTGCAGGTTCTTGGCACAAATGCTCATTTAGTAGCCAGATCATGTTTGTACTGCTGCCCACAACCTAATTTTTTTTTTACTGTTACTGCCGTATATTGCACTGCAAGAATGTGGATGGATGCTTGAAAAATAAAGTGATTAACAAATCTGATTTAGCCATCGTTCGAGACTAATAATTAGAAGAGCATATAATACATTTACAGGTGATTGCTGTGGAGAAATGTCAGCAGGGTATATAATCTACTAAGTACATAATGCTAGTTCTCCCATATGCGTTTATACTCTGCTTTTAGATAGGGCATACCAAGTAATAATAATGAATACTGTCAGAAAATCTTTTTTTTTTCTTCAGACAGCAGGGCAATTAACTAAAAATGTGTTGCCTGCCTGCGTATGCCCTAGTAAAGCTGGTAATAAGCAGTGATTTCAGCACATGCAGAAAATAGGTCATGCCAATGGCAATTGTAATGACTTCTGTTTCATTTTGCAGGCAAGCAATACCTTCACAGTAAGAAGATTAACTGTGTGCACTAATTCTTGTGCTAATTCATTTTTTAGATTCAGATAAGCTACCAAGTATTTAAATTCTTGGGTTTACTGAGAGGATTACTTCTAGTTCCCTAAACCAAATAACCCGATATTTGTCAGCAGAGCAGTTGATTTGAGCATTGTGTGTGAGAGGTAGGTAGTATATAGGTTAAGGAACAACTGGCAGCGAGTGTTGACAGTTGGCAAAAGGTCACTGTGAATTTTCAGCTTAGCAGTTTTTAAAATGACTACAAGCATCATATAAGCAATGTCACAGAATTCAGTAGTCTAGAGCCATGGGCAACATCTGACAACAGGCAAGACAGATGTAGAGCTGTGTAAGTCCTGAGACAGATGGTCTGCTCAGACAGCAGCAGATTCAGCAGACTGATGCCCAGGTCAAGTATAGAAGAACAAGTTCTATGTTCTAGACAGGTAAAATAAGTCATGACGAACAAGAGCACAGTAAGGGGCAGATGAGCAGGATAGGCAAGGAAAAGTGAAGGATAAATGCTGTTCAAACAATTACAGAAATTGCAAGGCATAAACAACCAGACAAAAGTCAGACAGATTTTTAACTATGGCATATGCAAAGGAACAAACATGATGATCAAGGGAAGGCTGAATTCCTGGCATTCAATTTAATTGTGCTTGATTAGGATACAGGTGTTTACTACAGCAATTTGTGCTTCAGTGCCTAATAATGACCAGTAGATGGCAAGGCTTAAAGCTAATCATTTCAAGCAGCACAAAGACTTTGGGGAGAATTCAATAAAACTGCTGCACCACTTCTTTGGTGTTAATCGCGCTTGTTAATGTATTGCACCAAATTCATGAAGCATCTGCAACACTTTTAGTTCTGACAGCAGCTCGTGCACCCAATTCAGGTAGTTCTAAAATGTGCCACTTTTTACCTTGTGGTGCAATCAATGCACTAAATTCAAAATAAAATACCAAGAGTTAGTATCCAATGAAAGTGGAGCTAATTAAAGCATAAGTTGACCTTGAAAAAATAATAAATGCACATTTTTTGCAGGTAAAAAAATGTGCATTTACTATGTTTTTTTCTTATGAGTCTGTAAATCATTGCACCCAATTGTGGGTGTGGTGTCAGGTTCTTTTAGACTGTCAGGGTAGCTATCCACCCATACCTCTGATACAGACAGTCAGTTACTTCAGTACAGAAAGCTCAATGGACTACGAGAGTGCTCACCAACACCCTTGCATCCCATTGAGAATTGCAAGGCATCAGCTGCAAAGGCTGATGGTGGTGCTTGTAGGTATTCATTCACAGTCATTCATTGTGACGAGTTCGGGGAGAAGATCTGCTGTCAAAAGGGAGGGAAGGGATAAGAAGGAGGCTGAAGGAGCAGAAAACATGTTACATTTTCCACCCTAAAAACAGGTGGATCATGTAACATGTTCTCAAAGGTAAACCTATCCTTTAAAACCAACTGTCCTTTGGTGTACAGAGAGAGAAACTGGTGCAGACAGATTTTGTGAAAGTGTCTTGAGTGCATTCTAAAAGTGGCACAGCATGTGCCAAAATCATGTACAAGTTCTAGACAGTTACAAGGATTTGGCGCATGCTGCACCACTTTTTGAATGCATGAGAGATACTTTCACAAAATCTGTCTGCATAAGTCTTTCTGAATTCCAGAGATTGTGGCATACTTCTCGAAATTATAAGAAGTTTCTTACTTTTTTGGCCTCAGGCTCTCATATGTTCTATTGTCTCACATACTGTATTATTTTGTAGCTTTTGCATACATTTTCAACAGAGTAAAAGGACTAAAAGGACATTTGATTACAGAAAAATGTTATGTCATATTGCATAAAATTTCAACCAACCTATGACCGAATAAGCTTGCATAAAACAAAAAAATTACAAAAATTCACACAAATTTAGCCTCTATGTGTATGAGCAAGTCAACATGTTGTTTTTTTTTTCTCTCCTTTTTTTCAATCAGCTGCTCACCAGGACTCATATACGCCTAAAACAAGGCCACGATCTAGGTAACAATTTGCTTAACTATTTATTGGAATAATAATAAATTGTATTTGTTTAGCACTTTTCAAAATTTAAATGTGCCCTGCAGTAACAGAGAAATCTTTAAAAAAATATAAAATTAAAAGAATAAACATTAAAAAAAAACTATTACAAGTAATATTATAAAAAGCACTTTTAAACTGTCTAAAAGGGTATTCAGAATCTTGGATCAATAATAAGGAAAGGCCTATTTAAAATTCATTAGTTTAGTTTTAGAAAATACTTTCAAATCGCATTACTTAAACCGTTTGACTGTCATGGATGTTTAACATATGTCCTTGATGTACCTTATTTTAGGTGGACAATGATTTATGGAATATTTTATTTAAAGGGTTAAAAGAAGCTCATGGCTACAACAGCAGCCTTACAACATAAAGTCTTATGATGCAAGCAGGCATTACCTACTTTTCCTATTTGCATTAAAAAGGCACAAATGGACCAGATGTGCAGTATGTTTTGCATGACTATTTGGGTTATACGGTGTCTCAGTCAGAGAACAAAAATAAAGTTTGGTAATCCTCAACTCTCCACTAACTATAAATGATATATATTGGACAAAAAGTACAACAAAAACATCAAATTAAAAATAATGGAAGAGCTATTCACTTTATTTTTTTTTCACACCACTAATGCAATTTGCATTAAATCATGAGTAATAAATACAGGTGCATTTTTTTCCTAAACATCATACCACTTATGAAACAGGAGGAAGATATGCCAGTGTCACATACAGTAGGTAACCAGACTTGGCATTCTGCCGTGTTGTTTTCTCTATATGAGTTGATCTGTACGGTTACCTACAATGCTCATTTGCTTTGTTTTAAATTACACTATGATTGGCAAAACCTAGACAAGTGATACGCTTCTCAGTCAAGCACTGCTAATAGGTCTGATATACACAACTGAATTCAAATAGAATCAAGATCAAATTCCTGTGTATAATTGTCATAGGAATGTTATTTGTGCTTTCATGCAGATCACTTGTAAAATTAAAGGAATTTCCCTCCATAATGGCACTGGGAAAGAAAATTGTGTTAAAAAACCATTTTATTTCTTACACTTTTTATAATGTCTTCCTCAATATAAAGTATTTTCTAGGTATTGTGATTATATTGATGCTGGCAATTTTCATATCTATTTCTCTGTAAAAATAGTTTTACCATTACAACAAAATTAGAGGATACAAGCTTGAGACAAATCAAAACTAAATGTACTGCAATTAGAGCAGCAACCATTTTTCTGAAGCAGTGTGGACGAATAAACAGCAGCTAAAGTTTACATTTTGAAAAGAAAAATAAATAATACGCAGTTTTTTGAAGGTAATATTTTTTTTTTTCCTAAGGAGCCTGCAGCACATTTCACCCATGATCAGCACAATGTGGGTGCAATCTCAGGCTCCTGCAGACTCACAGGATAGCTGTCTGCCCATTCATCATAGTTCATTAAGAACTACAAGCCATCAGCCGCAATGGCTGACTGTACTTGTAGTCTATCCATTTACAGGAAACTGTGCTTACATGCACAACACTTACAGGAAACTGTGAATGAAAGACGTGGCCATTTGGGTTGACGCTGCGCTGTTTTCAAATTGTGACAGCAGGTGCGGAGAGAAGATACCCCGCCCTCTGTCACAGGAAGGTTGGATGGCATGAAGCTGAAGATGGGTGGAACATGTAACATGTTCCAAAGGTGAACTTACCTTTTAAAACATTCCAGTTCTAATAAATGAACAGCACAAGGCTTTGCTATTGGTACAACAATCTCTGTTCAAGTTCAGGTTGTTGCTAAGGCAAAATTAAAAGGGCATCCCATTAAAAACTGATTGCGCTAAAATACACTATAGCCATAAACCAGCAGCAGAATTTTATATTTTTTGTTGCAGTCATTGGGTAAAATTGATGTTTTATGTGAAAAGAATGAAATCCTGTTTATGTTTTAAAGAATTTACTCAAAATATGTTCAACATAGTTTTTTATGTGTTGTGGGAAAAAAAATTAAAGGAACTCTTTTTAATCAGAGTATAGCATCAAGTCAATGAAACTCCTGGTATATTGATCTGGTCAGGTAAGTAGCAGAGGGGGTTGTTAATCAATTTCAGCTGCTTTGGTGTTAATGAAATTAACAACAGGTGCACTAGATGGACAACAATGAGACCACCCCCAAAACAGGAATGTGTTACAAGTGGAGACCACTGACATTTGTTTTCTCTACTAATCTTTTCTGAAGGTCCTTAACCCATCAGCAAGACCGGTATCTGCTCCTTTGTGCAAGGAGGAACAGGATGAGCACTGCCTGAGCCCTACAAAATGACCTTCAGCAGGCCACTGGTGTGAATGTCTCTGACCAACCAGAAACAGACTTCATGAGGGTGGCCTGAGTGCTCGACATTCTCTAGTGGGCCCTGTGCTCACTGGCCAGTACCATAGAGCTTGATGGGCATTTGCCATTGAAAAACGGAGTTGGAAGGTCCACCACTGGTGCCATGTGCTTTTCACAGATGAGAGCAGGTTCACCCTGAGCACATGTGACAGACATGAAAGGGTCTGGAGAAGCTGTGCTGCCTGTAACATCATTCAGCATGACTGTTTTGGTGTGGGTCAGTGATGGTCTGGGGAGACATATCCATGGAGGGACACACAAACCTGTGCAGGCTAGATAATGGCACCCTGACTGCCATTAGATATCGGAAGGAAATCCGTGGATGCATTGTCAGACCCTACGCTGGTGCAGTGGGTCCTGGGTTCCTCCTGGTGCACGACAATGCCCGGCCTCATGTGACGAGAGTATGCAGGAAGTTCCTGGAGGATGAAGGAGTTGTTACAATTGAATGACCCCCACATTCGCCTGACCTAAATCCAGTAGAACACCTCAGGGATATCATGTTTCTGTCCATCTGACACCGCCAGGTTGCACCTCAGACTGTCCAGGAGCTCAGTGATGCCCTGGTCAAGATCTGGGAGGAAATGCCCCAGGGACACCATCAGTCATTTCATTAACAGCATGCCCTGATGTGTTGTCAGGCATGCATACAAGCACGTGGAGTACCATTTTGAGTGCTGCAATGAAATTTCAGCAAAATGGACTAGCCTGCTACATAATTTTTTTCACTTTTATTTCTCAGGGTGTCTGAATTCAGCCCTCTGTAGGTTGATAATTTTAATTTCCATCAACCGATGGGGCATCCTTACATTCCTAACACATTACCCAGTCCATATCAGTATAGATATCCAGCATGATATTTTTCCCCATTGAGATCTGATGTGTTTTCAAAAGTGTTGCAGTATTTTTATTGAGCAGTGTATGTATGTATATGTATGTATATATATATTATACACACAGTATCTCACAGAAGTGAGTACACCCCTCACATTTTTGTAAATATTTTATCATATCTTTTCATGTGACAACACTGAAGAAATGACACTTTGCTACAATGTAAAGTAGTGAGTGTACGGCTTGTATTACAGTGTAAATTTGCTGTCCCCTCAAAATAACTCAACACACAGCCATTAATGTCTAAACCGCTGAAGACAACAAGTGTGTCTAGCTCTTTAGGGGTCAAAAACAGGAGCTACTTTTCTCATAAGCAGTTTTTTTTTACCATATTACAATAAATTCAATGTGTTCTCTTTCAGGTCATACTCAAGCACATCTATAGAGGAAACTATGAAGAAAGTAGAAGAACCTCCTACACCACCACCAAGACCTCAAAAAACCCATTCTAGAGCTTCATCACTGGACTTGAACAGAATCATCCAGCAACATTCCCCAGGTTATCACTTAGTCAATCAATTCTATATAATTAGATAATGCTGCTAAAGCCTAGTACACACGATGAGAAAAGCAGGCGAAAAATACGGCTTTCGAAATGACTGATAATCTGATTGTTAGTACACAGCTTTGCCGATCATGACAGTTCATGCAAAATTATCTGAAGGGACAAGCACAAAAAATTTTCTTGTACAATAATAGAACGAACGATTTTCGTTTAATCTGTACAGTGTTCGTCCATAAAAAAAAAATTGAGTGACCAAGACCATGCATGCTCAGAAATGAAAGACTACATTACAATACATCACTTCCGAAGTTGTATTTCTGTCTTACGAGAATTTTCGTAGCTTTAGCTTTTAACCTCCTTATTTTCAATATGAGACTAGCATGCAAATAAAAAATGGACGATCATTCGTCCAATATTCTCATCATGTGTACGAGGTTTAACAGTGTAAAACAGAAACATGTTAAATATTTTTTACCCCTATCTTGATACTAATCTTGCTAGATATGATTAACTCATTTGATCAACTGATTAGATGAGTTACTGTCTGGCCTTTCCCTCATTCCTGGTGTGCTTAGTTATGTGGTATAGGCTATCAATCTTTCAGAGCTGCTTCCATTCCTGCAACTCTATTTTTAGTAAATTACTCTCAAACAGATAATAGGGTAGCTTGTTTTGTTTGATTATTTAAATTGCCCACAATTTTAAAGCAGGATTTGCTCTAAAGGATTTTACCTCTACAAAGCCAACTGTGATCACAGCAGATTGTACTGTTAGCTTCAGAAATTCTTGTATCAAGCAGTCAAACAAAATTGCACTGTAATTGTCTGTGTAGAAATCAGTAGTTAGCTCTAATTCACCTTTAATTACCATAATTAGAAAGTGCTGAGTAATAAAAAATCTATACTGCAGTATGCACATGTACAAAAAATGTGGATTATCTATAGCAGTGGTCTCCAAACTACAGCCCTTTGCCTGCCTGTATCCGGCCCTTGGGGTACTATTCCTCCCCCACTGACACCAACAAGGAAGCACCATTTCTTCCACTAGCACCAACTATGGGGCATTTTTCCTTCCACTGATAGCAATGATGGCGCATACCTCCTCCCACTGATATAAACAATTAGGTACTATTCCTCCAACTAATACCAAGCGTGGGACACTATTCCTTCCTCTGATACCAATGATGGGGTATTATTCATCCCACTGACACCAATGATGGGGCGCTATTCCTCCCCCTGACAACAATGATGGGGCACAACTCCTCCCACTGATATAAACAATTAGGTACTATTCCTCCAACTAATACCATGGATGGGGCACTATTCCTTCCTCTGATACCAATGATGGGGTACTATTGATCCCACTGACACCAATGATGGGGCACTATTCCTCCCCCTGACACCAATGGTGAGGCACTATTCTTCCCACTAACACCAATGGTGGGGCACTATTCCTCCCTCTGACACCAATGATGGGGCACCATTCCTCCCACTGTCACCAATGATGGGGCACTATTCCTTCCACTAATACTAATGATGGGGCAGTATTCCTTCCACCAATACCAATGATGGGGCAATATTCCTTCCACTAATACCAATGATGGGGCAATAACTAATACCAATGATGGGGCACTATTTCTCCTACACCGCACCTTCCACTGACTACAAATATGTCATTTTTTTTTTTAATTCCTACTGATGCTGGGACATTTTGTACTCCCACTGGCCACTCCAGCGCTCCTAAAGTCTGAAGGACAGTAAACCAGCCCTTTGTTTAGAAAGTTTGGAGACCCCTTATCTATAGCATTATAGTTTGCATTGTGTAGAATACAGCCAACAGAATGGCCTGAGTTTCTATGTTTTTCCCTACCTTACATAGATATATGTATATACATAGATTTGTTATATTTTGGGAACTAGTTCAGAGTCTAATTTTTTTTAGGGAAACCGCTCCAAATTCAGTCACAAACGTAATATTGTCTGCATTAAATGGGCAACTAACTTCAGAAGAAAATGAATATTAAAACGCAACAAGCTGAGCATAATTACTATAAAGACTGACCGATTCAGTGCTCATCTAGCTCAGTGCAAACAGCACCACCTCTAAACAGCATGTTTACAGCAAACATGGATGCAAAGGCATGGCCAGGCTGCTGGAAACAGGATTTATCTCTAGTAAAGATAGCTTATGATATTAGATTTTCACAGGTTGCAAGAAAAATCAATAGTGTTTTGTAGTAGTCCAGTTTTGAGAATGAGAGCAAAAAGTGAAGCACTTTGAACTGAAAAATGAAAATATTTTTCAAAATCATCTTGATAATCCAAGCAGTTGTTACAGCCTGTGGTAGATGTCTACAGTCATCATCAAAAAAGGTCTACAGAATCTATGCAAGAATAGGGAAGGTTGCAGTTGGTAAATGAACGATTTTAGGTGGAGCCACAAAAAATATTCTGGTAGCATCCATTGTTCAGTTATGGTCATTTTTCTTTAAGAAAATGTCATCTAGTATATGCTCATCTTAATACTGTTCTTAGAGACAATCCCTTGTTCCTTGTGGCAACACCACAATCCATCACTGGTTTTGTTATAACTAGATTTCAGTAAGCCCTCACAGCTACTTATTAAATACAGTACAGAAAATCAGATCCACAATAGTTTTAATGATGGCATATCATAATAAAAATATATTTCATATCGCTGTACATAAAATTAAGTGCACTTATTCAATTTTCTATCTGTTCTATGGTTTTACACAGCTCCTCGAGCTGGATGGATACAACCTCCTCCTGCTCTGCCTCCAAGACCTGGTGTGTCACAGGTAAGAAAATATTTACTATTACAGTCTCACAACAATAAACCTGCATACCAACTACAGTTAGGAACAGAGCTTGTGGGCCCCATGCCGTTCATTAACTCTGCAAGACATGCATAGGAAAGTGTCCTGAAAACCATCTTGGTGACTGTAGTGTAAAACCTTTATTGTAATAGAACTAAGTAGTGAAGGTCACATTCATTCACTAAATGAAACGGCATGCTGTTTTACCTCTTGCTGTCCGCTCACAGTGCATGTACTGTGAGCGGCACAGCCAGGCTAGGCGACGTACCCATATGTCGCCACCTGGCTTCCAGGCTTCGGGTGTGCACCCCCTTTTAACTGTGCTGTGATTGGACACAGCACAAATTTTCTCAGCAGGTTTTAGCTAATTATTTTGCCTGAAACCTGCTGATCCGCTGTGTCCAATCACAGCACAGAGTTCTGTGTTTACAAACACAGAATTATGTGTAAACAGAAGGGCGGTCTGGCTGTTTCTTCTCCTTGAAAAGCAGGGAGAACAAATAGTCAGATCTATGAGTAAAAGCAGCACACATTACACACATTATACTTGTTAGGCACACAGTTAAACTCTTGATTTCCCCTAGATGTTAACCCCTTCTCAGTCAGTGTCACTAACCACTTGCTTTTAAGAGGATGTACCCAACTTCCTGACCAGACCAGACCATTTTTTGAGATACGGCGCTGTTACTTTAACTGACAATTGCGTGGACAGGCAACGCTGTACATAAATGAAATTTACGTCCTTTTTTCCCACAAATAGAGCTTTCTTTTGGTGGTATTTGATTGCCTGTGTGTTTTTTATTCTTTACGCTATAAACAAAAGAAGACTGACAATTTTGAGAAAAATACTATATGTCCAGTAAGAAAAATTTTTAAAAATCAAATTTCTTCATAAATTTAGGCCAAAATGTATTCTGCTACATGTCTTTGCTAAAAGAAAATGCCAATACGTGTAAATTAATTGGATTATGCGAACGTTATAGCGCCTACAAATGGCAGTATATATACTGGAATTTTTTTTTAGTACTAGTAATGGCGGCAATCAGCGATTTATAGCTGGACTGCGGCGGGCATTCTGACACTGGGGGGAACTGACTTGGTGTCAGTGACATCTCCAGTGACACCAATACAGTGCTCAGTGCTAATAAAAAGCTATGGCAGGGCTTGGTGCTATGCAGAGCCGCTGTGTGTGTGCTTTACAATCACACTGTGTGCAGGAGCTTCCGGGAGAGATCTGTGCTGTTTATACATAAGTCTCTCCCCCTTCGGTAATTCTCAGAGATCGCCGGGTGCCGACGGGGAATCACTGGCCGGGACCTGGTGATTGACGGCCGCGAATGACGGCGCAGGTAGGGCACACGTGCCCCCTACCCGGAAATGAAAAATCACATATTTATATGTGATTTTGCTCACCCGTGCCACCCTGTAGCAGTATTTCTGCTATAGGGTGTCGCGGAAGCGGTTAATACAGTCTAGAGTATTATATCTGATTACTGAATTAGTGTCACTAGCGCCATCAGTGTCAGTTAGTGTCCCTTCCAGCCATTGTCTGTTAGAGCCAGATTGCCCACCACACTATCACAGTCCCGCTACAAGTCGCTGATCACCGCTATTACCAGTATAGTGTTTTTAGCTGCGTAAATTCCAGTATACAGTGCCTTGATAAAATATTCATACCCCTTGAAATTTTTCAAATTTTGTCATGTTACAACCAAACATGTAAATGTATTTTATTGGGATAGACCAACACAAAGTGGCACATAATTATGAAGTGGAAGGAAAATGATAAATAGTTTTTAACATTTTTTACAAATAAATATCTGAAAAGTGTGGTGTGCATTTGTATTCAGCCCCCCGAGTCAATACTTTGTACTACCACCTTTCCCTGCAATTACAGCTGCAAGTCATTTTGGTATGTCTCTAGCAGCGTTCTCCATCTAGAGAGTGACATTTTTACCCATTCCTCTTTGCAAAATAGCTCAAGCTATTATTTAGAGACTGCATATCCTGTAATGCACTCTTTAAATCAGTGTTTATAAAAATATGAGTCAGGAGCGGTCCCCATTTGTCCTTATAGCATAGTTTGTCCAAGTGTAAAATCTTATTTGTAGCAAGTGAAGGCCTGAGTTCTGCTGTACAGGGGATTGCAAGTGACTGATAGCAAGGCAAATTCTGGTACTTTAATACTGCTTGTATTAAAAAGAAAATCAAAAAGAAATAATGATTACAGATCTGCATTAATTTAGATCTGGGTGGAGATAATCTATTAATAATTTGTGTATCTGCATGAGCATTTACATAACAGTAGCAGCAAGGACAGATCACAGATCTTTGTTTCAATTACTAGGGGGTTGATTTACTAAAACTGGAGAGTGCAAAATCTGGTGCAGCTCTGCACAGAAACCAATCAGCTTCCAGGTTTTTTATCAAACCTTTATTGAACATGCTGAAGTTAGAGGCCGATTGGCTAACAGATTTTGCACTCTCCAGTTTTAGTATATCAACCCCTATGTCTCTCAGTCCTGCCTAATTCCCCCTGTTGCAGCTTCTGTAGGAGGGGTAGAACTGATCAATGTTACTAAGTCAGTATAATGCAGTCATCCCAACCTTTTGGGGAACTCAATTTTGCCCTACTTCACCCAAACATAATTGCTGTTTAATCGCATTACTAATAAAATTATAATATGGATGCTAAGGCTGGTCATACATTATAAAATTTTCTTGAGAGTTTTGGTTTAGATTTACCAAAAACCATATAATATGAGGTCAAACCTAAACAACACTTTCAATTGTATCCAATTAGGCAGGCCCTTGCGCTACATTGTTGAAGGTAAATCTAAAGGAAATTGGCTAGAAATTGGACAGAAAATTGTATAGTGTATGGCCAGCCTAAGGTTATATGTAACCTAATTTTTCTTGTAATGGGCTAGCATGGTGTTGCCCCATCCTGCCCTTCATACCTCCTTAATGGCCAATCAAGCTGCTGCCATTTTAAAGAACTAAGACTTGGGGAAAGGATGGAGTGATGCTGAGGCCAGCTTTTACAGGAAAATCAGCTAATACGGTGCTTTGCCAGAAGACTTTGCACCCTGTGTTTGCACAAAGTACAAACATAATGTTCAAATTGAAGTTTGTTTGGTTCTTCAGTTTACAGCATTTTGCACAATGCTTTTTGTTCTTCTGAAAAAGCCCAATTGACAGCTTTATCAAACACATATACATACACAGACACTTATTGCACTGACTGCAAGGAAATGTCCAATCTATCATTGGTTAATATGTATATGGAGTGTCAGTGAGCGCTATGGGTGTGTAGAAAGGTATAAGCTGCTGGCACTAAAGGACCGCCCTTGGTATCCTCACTAGTGAATGAAATATAAAAGGTGCAGCGCTGCACCTTTTATATTTCATATCACTGATTAATACGCCACACAATTTATGTTTCAGACATGTTTCTTTGATTCCTGCTGTGATAATAGTTTGTCAGTAGTGAGAGTAACATATAAACAGCCCAGAATTTTTATTTATGTCAAGCTATATGGTTAATCTGATGTTGGATTAATTTTACACTTGTTGAACAAACATATGCTTGAATGCCTATGTATATGGGAAGTTACAAATTATGTTTCCTAGCAAGCTGTACTGTCATTTAAAGATGTGATTTTCACTTTGTCTACCCGTATGTGAGTCCTTTTTGGAAATAGATTATGGATGATCCTTGAGCCAACAGGGGGATGCGCTGTTTTTGGAGTGCATTAGGAAAGACCAATAAATTCATATAATAGCAGGCTGTACAGCTTCCAAGAGAATATCTCTTTCAAAAGCCATATATTTTAGCTATTAGCAGCATAAAATCATCTCAACACTGATGGCTTAGTGTGATATTGTCTAATGGGAGTTGTGTTTCTTTGGCAGATTCCCTACCAGAATACTAACACAGAGCAAAAGATACCAGCATTTGCAGACTTCAAGTTGCAAGAACAAGTAAGCTGTTTATTTACTTGTTTTGTAAACTCTTTGTTTTCTCTGTATTTTAGTTTGTCCTGATTAATATACTACATTGTATATAGCAAGGTTCTTGGGCAGAAAAAGGTAATGTAATGTCTGCATGCATATTTGTACAAATACAGTGCATTCTTAAAGTATTCAGGCTGCCTTTACTTGATCAATTTTGTTATGTTGCAGCCTGCTAGTACAGTTGTTGAAATTCATCTTTTTCTCATTAATATACATGCAGTACCCCATAGTGACAAAATTATAAAATGTCTGTGAATTTATTAAAAAGAAAAAAACTGAAATATCACATGTACTTAAATTGTTACTAAACTCACAACAGTAAAATCAGTCTGTATATGCAATAAAGCATGCTTGTTATCCTCACTGTGGAACCTAAGGGTTTAATCCTCTGCATTGTGTACAAAGGATGTTTGATCTTGTCTTCTTTGATCCTCCCCTTCTTCTACTGTCCCCAATCCATTTGCTGTTAGTACAGAGCTCTAGGAGTCACTCTGAACATGCTCAGTTTAGTGTGTATGGCTATAGAGTTGTTTTTTTTTTCTTGGGAGAATGCATCAGCACAGGGCCAATCAGTACTGTGCAGACAGATGGTCAGGAGTCCTGCAGCCACATAGGACAATATGGAGAGAATTAAAGCTCCTCCCCTACAAGCTTTAACTGGTGCTCTGCTGGACACTGATAGAAGTCATAAGACTGCTCTAACTGCTGATGAGAAAAGGTATTTAGCAGATTGTTTACTAAAATGATTGCATTTCCATATTCTGTGTACTGTGGGAGACCAGATATAGTGAATGCAGGATCCTGGGTTTAGTAACACTTTAAGTATTCAGACCCTTTACTCAGTACTTTGTTGAAGCACCTTTGGCAACACTTACAGCCTCGAGTCTTTTTGGGTATGGCGCATCAAGCTTTGCACACCTCGATTGGGAAAATTCCTGCCATGCTTCTTTGAGCCTCTGAAGCTCAGTCAGATTGGATGGGGACCGAGCCATTTTCAGGTCTCTCCAGAGAAGTTCAATGGGTTCAAATCAGGGCTCTGGCTGGACCACTGTAGGACATTCACAGAACTTTCCCAAAGCCACTTCTGTGTTGTATTGGCTGTGTGCTTAGGATCATTGTCATGTTGGAAGGTTAACCTTCGGCCCAGTCCGAGGTCCAGAGCGCTGTGGATCAGATTTTCATTGAGGATATCTCTGTACTTCGCTCCATTCAACTTTCCCTCAACCCTGACCAGTCACCCAGGCCCTGGTGCTCAAAAACACCCCCACAGCATGATGCTGCCACCACCATGATTCACTGGTGGGATGGTATTAGGTAGGTGATGAGCGATGCCTGGCTTCCTCCAGACATAACATTTAGAATGGAGGCATTGAGGCATTTAGAATTGTCCCATCTCCACAAAGGATCTCTGGAGCTCAGTCAGAGCGACCATCTGGTTCCTGGTCACTTCTCTTACTAAGGTCCTTCTCTGATTGCTCAGTTTGGCCAGGTGACCAGCTCTTGGAAGAGTCCTGATTATGCCATTTTTTTTCCATTTGAGAATTATGGAGGCCACTGTGCTCTTGGGAACCTTCAGTGCAGCAGACTTTTTTTGTACCCTTCCCCAGATCTGTGCCTTGGAACAATCCTGTCTCTGAGCTCTGCAGGAAGTTTTGTTTTATAGAGAGGGGTGTGGCTTTTGAAAACATATCCAACCAATTTAATTTACCACAGGTGGACTCTAATCAAGGTATAGAAATATCTTAGCAATGATCAAGAGAAGTGGGAGGCACCTGAGCTGAATTTCAAGTGTTGCTGCAAAATGTCTAAATACTTATGCCAATGTGATATTTAATTTTTTCCTTTTTCACATATTTTAAAACATTTTTACATTCTGTTTTCATTTTGTCATTATGGGGTACAGAGGGTAGATTAATGAGGAAAATAATGAATTTAAACAACTGTAGTATCAGGCTGCAACATACCAAAATTGAAAAAAGTGAAGGGGTTCTGAATACTTGAATGCACTATATTATTGTCTTTTTTGCTTCAGTTGAACCATACATAACCCAGTCTCTGAAATAAGAATTACCGTATATTTCGCTCCATACACCTGACCATAAGACGCACCGAGGTTTTAGAGGAGGAGAACAAGAAAAAAATATTCTGAACCAATGGACTGCAGACATAGTACAGGAAATGACCAGAGACTGCGGATGTACTACAGGAGATGAATAAAGACTGCAGACATAGTACAGGAGATGACCAGAGACTGCAGACATAGTACAGAAGATGACCAGAGACTGCAGACATAGTACAGAAGATGACCAGAGACTGTGGATGTACTACAGGAGATGACCAGAGACTACAGACATAGCACAGGAGATGACCAGAGACTGCAGATATAGTACAGGAGATGACAAGAGACTGCAGACATAGTACAGGAGATGACCAGAGACTGCGGATATAGTACAGGAGATGACCAGAGACTGCGAATATAGTACAGGAGATGACCAGAGACTGCGGACATACTACAGAAGATGACCAGAGACTGCAGACATAGTACGGGAGATGACCTGAGACTGCAGACATAGTACAGGAGATGACCAGAGACTATGGACCTAGTACAGGAGATGACCAGAGACTGCAGACCTTTGGAGGGTACAGGAGGCTCCCACTTCCGCTGCAATCCCCTAGGCGATCGGAAGAGAAAGTTGTCCATCCCCGTAGTCTTCTGGGATGCGTGACAGGTCCCAGAAGACTACGAGGCCATTCACAAAGCGCGACACTTCTTGTGCATGCGCAGTGGGCACCTGGCTGTGAAGTCGCAAGCTGTTACAGCCGGGTGCCCACACTAAAGATGCCAGGGAGAGAAGACGACCGGTAAAACCAGCTGTGGTGAGTACTCCGCTGGACCAAGGAACAGGTAAGTGGCTGTATTTTAAAAGTCAGCAGCTACAAGTTTTGTAACTACTGACTTTTTTTTTCTTTTTCAGCTGGAACTCCGCTTTTATGGGGCAGCTGCTTTGGGCCCTGAATGGTGCTGCTACACTGCTGACTCGGACTCCTCCTCTCTTCTGCCACAGAAGAGCCAAGCGGCTGGCCTGGGATTCTAACACAGTGGCGGAGAGGGGAGTCCTGGTCAATATTCGCTCTATAAGACGCACAGACATTTCCCCCCTGTTGGGGGGGTGAAGTGCGTCTTATGGAGTGAAAAATACGGTAGTATGTAGAGTCTGTTTTTTACACCTCCCCTCCCCCCAAAGCTCTGAAGGTACTTTTACTGCAAAAAACAGTAAGATGTTTACCGATTTTGTAGCAATAGATTAACTTTTTATTGTCCCACAGACATATATAAATCTGTTATCCTTAATAATACCAGCAGTTGCTGAATTCATATAAAAAAGCTGTTAACACGATTTAAAGTGCCACTAAAGCTTTTTTTATTTTAAATAGAGTAAGGAGAAGTTATAACCCCTGTCATTATTTTTGTCATCTGTATCCCATTAGGGAGATTCCCTTCGCTTCCTGTCCCAAAACCAAAGCAAAAATTGAGAGAAAATCCCTCCAAAGTGTGGGAATCCAAAGGCATTCCTGGGGTGACCAGAACTAGTGTTTACATTGGAATATTTCCCCTCAGTGTCAACCCAAAACTTGGGATTTTCTCAACAATAGGGTGAATCTCCCTAAGGAGGGTACAGGCAGCAATAAAAAAACTGACAGGTGTTCTAGTCCCTTTCCACTCTATCCTACTGTATTTGCCTTTAGTTACACTCTAAAGTTATGCTGTCTTACTAATGGTTACCCAACAGCTAGCTAACAAAACTGACAGATACAGCATTGTTTTTCATTGCAAAACTGAATTTACTTCTGTGAATAGTTCTGTAAAACTGCAATAAAATCACATAAACTGAAATTACAATATGTTTGGATACATGTCTCTCACAAATGCATATATAATGAATACATTTCTTGCAAACAGCTACCTACAAATCACATTGAATGCATCCAGTGTATATGATTCATGCTCCCTACTATTACATCCTCAGTTCTGACTAGAGAATGCTAGCTGCCCGACAGTTGTACTTGCCCACTTGCTTTCATAGTTTCTGAGTTACTGCCTGATAGGGACTTCTGGCTTTCCTTCTAACATTCCTGACATTTATGACAGGCCTCATTTAAATGTGTAGCAATATTTACCACCCTAACGAAAAGCAATTTGTGGTGGATCGCTTTCAGAGGCATTTGACAGGCTGCTCAGAAGCGATATTTTGCCTTCTCAACCACCTGTTTTTTTATTGCCCTGTGGCTGCACTTAACTTGAATTCTTAACCGCTGGACAAATGGCTTTTTTATCAGTGCTTGAAGAAAAAACTGTCTCAAGCAGTTTGTATCATGTTTATACTGTATCATGCATAGTAACAATTTAGAGCCTTCATTTTATTTAGATCTTTCATTATGTCTGTTTAACCACTTCTTGTCCACCCACAGCCTATAAACAGTGGATGGGAAGAAGCGCCAATGCAGGTTAACGCACCTGTTTGTCGGCCTTCATCAGAGGCTCCTGCGCAGCTCACAGAGCATGCACCCGGGAGCCCACATTACTGCTGTGTCTGGGTGATCACATGGTCTTGTACCATGTGATTCTGTATCCAATCACAGCAATCACATTAAAAACAATGCAAGCTGAAAGTAAAGGAATGTGTGAATTGGTTCTGCTGCTAACACCTACCACACCCTAATTAGATTGTGTAGAGTCATAAGGGTGTTGCGCTGCCCCTAAATTATAGTTTTGTTGCAACTCCCCGACTGGGAGTTGATATAGGTGTTCAGTGCTCAATGTGATTAATCTAAATCCTATCTGACATTGAAGATCCACTCCATACTACAAAACACCATCCCCCTTCCTATCCCCATGAATGTGTCAAAATGAAATAATAAAATATGTGCTGAAGTGTGACTCCTTTAGAGGATCCCTCCATCCTACAGAACACCTTACTACTTGGGGTAAACCAAGTGAATCAAACAGGAACTACAAACCACCTCTGCCTAATTCAACAAATGTGAATTGAAATTACCTTCCTCCTCTTCAAAATATAAAGTGCATTAATAATGTCTCTCCCCTCCTAGGTGAATGTACCTAAGTGTGGTACTATAGTGCACCTCACCAGAGAAGTACCACACATAAACTGCAGTAGCGTTCACAAATGCAAATGAACAATAAGCAATAAAAATGGAACGATGCAATAATACAGTGAACACTAAACAATAGACAACGAATAAAGTGTCCGTGCAGAAATCAAATATTACAGATTCAGAAACAAATGTAGTCCATTAGACACATTTCTTGTGCTCCAGTGTGCTGTGAGTGATGGGAAAAAAACGTGTGCTTCCACACATGCTCCCCCTTTTACACTGCACTCAACGCAAAGTTAGACCCCTGTTTTAACACCACTAAGTGTTAATGCACTTTATATTTTGAAAAGGAGGAAGGTAAGTTCAATTCACATCATCTCCATACCCAATACTAGAGTCAGTTTCACCACCATATGCCGTACCAGTGTCAAGATCACCGCCGTACGCCATACCAAAATCCTGATACTGCCATACCCTATACCAGCATCCTGATCGCTGCCATACCAGCATCTTGATCAATGCCATACCTGTGTCCTGATCACTGCTGTACCTCATGCCAGCATTCTGATTATCACCATGCCCAATACCAGTGCCCTAATCACCGACTTCCCCTATAGCAGTGTCCTGATCACTGCCATACCCACTTTCGCCTGATCATTGCCATAACCCATTCCAGCACCATGATCAACGCCATACCCCATACCAGCACCCTGATCACCGCCCATACACCATACCAGCCCTGATAATCACCATACACGCGCCCTGATTATTGCCATACGCCATACCAATGTCCTGATTACCCCCCAACTCCATACCAGCTCCCTGATCACGCCATACACCATACCAGCTCCTGATCACCGCCATACCCCATACCAGCATCCTGATCAATTCTGATATATATATATATATATATATATATATATACTATAGTTTGTAGACAATGACTTTCACACAGACTAAATAATATACGTTGTTTCGGGTTATTTTTACAAAGAAATGTAGCAGAATACATTTTGGCCTAAATTTATGAAGAAAGGTTATTTTTTTTCAAAATATTTGGTATCTTTTTGGTTATATAGAGAAAAATACAAAACCCAGTGGTGATAAAGTACCACCAAAAAAAAATATACAAATGTATATGGGAACAGTGTTACATGCCTGAGTAATTGCCATTCAAAGTGTGACAGTGTTGAAAGCTGAAAATTGGCCTGGACTGGAAGGGGGTGAAAGTGTCTGGACTTGAGATGGGTAATATGAGATATGTAGTTCTGAAAAGGGTAGCCTAATTAGCTACTTTAAGCAACACAGACCTTCTACAACAGTTTTCCTGGTGCCCACATGGCAGCATACCTGTGATAAAACTCTGCCTCTTAACCACTCTCTCAGGACCAGTGTAAAAAAAGAGCAGTAAAGGCCCACCACTATCTCCTTTTTTAATTAATATCTTTATGCACCAGTGAAGAGATGCAGCGATGTCCCTACCTCTGTACAAATGCCGTTATCTGTCTGAGTTCAGCTTCTCCCAAGACACGGTCCCAGTCCTTGGGCTGCTAAATGTGCTGATTAGTCTTGGAGTTCCTAGTACCTGGGAGGTCCTCATTGTGATTCTAGCCCATCTCAGGGAGAAGGACCTCTGTGTCCATCATTGTCTGGATGATTTCTGCTTCTGGCCATTGACCGAGACCAGCTCTCGTTCAATGGCCAGAAGCAGATTATCATCGAGATTCATAGAGAAATTCTCATATGCACCAAGATTTGGTTGGATCATCAACTTAGAAAAAGTCAACTTTCTGCTGTTCAGCAGATAGTATACCTGGGAGCACTCTTCAATAGCCAACACCTCAGGTCTCTTCCTCCCCAGAAAAATTAAGGTCTCAGGGCATCCACTTCTCTCCTGTCAGCACCCCAATGCTTCAACCTGTTGGTCAAGATGTCAGCCTGTATACCAATGAACCCGTGGGCCCACTGGCACCTATATCAGTTTCATATGGGGGATTTTTTGGTTCAATGGGGAGAACACCTAGGACAATTAATCAAGGCTTCTCCCTGCATGAAGAAGAGTCTGTGGTGGTGGATAAAGAGGGAATCCTTGCAGACTTCCCTTCCCTTAGGTCCATTAAACTGGATCACAATTACATTGGATGCCAGCAGGAGAGATTGAGGCATGTTCACTTTGAAGGTGACAGGGTCCAGGGCAGGTGGAAGATTCCAGCCAAGGGCATGGTCTCAAATGTCCTAGAAATTTGAGCAGCATTTTCAGCCTTGCAATACATAATCAAGGGGAAACCAGTCTCTTGCAAATGAACAACAGAGCAGCAAATCTCATATATCCAAGAGCAGGGAGGGTACATGCAGAAGCACACTTCTGGAGGAGGTGGAGCCCCTAACGTCATGGGCAGAACGCCACCTGGCAGAACTGAGAACAGTATAACTCCCAGGCAAGTTGAACATACAGGTGGACCAACTTTCCACAATAGAGATATTTAACCCGATTTCCACACCCCATGGTGAAGGCGACGGATGCTCTGGTCTTTCCCTGAAACTGCAATCTGGCCTATACTTTTCCTCCTGTGTCTCTCATAATGATATTCTTGTCAAGGCTTCTGAGAGAGGACCCCTCAATCATCGGCATTCTACTTTATTGGCCTCACAGGCCCTGGTTTCCCCTGGCAGTTCATCTCAGGGTCAGAAGCCAGTACCTCTTCCAGTTTTTCCACTTCTGTTGTCGAGTTCAAGCACTCAAACCTGCTCATACTAGATGTGTGAGCATGGCTGTTCAGAGGGGG